GTATGGTCACAGTATATTTCATAATTTCTTATTACATAACGAATTTAAAAGTGCACAGTATATTTTATTTGAAAATATAAACAGAACCTGATATGACTAACGAAAGTTTTAATGTGATTTTAGTTATTACTCTTGTCAATGCTCCCTCATATTTCTTTCCCCGCTCTCCCTGCCTTAGCAATGGTCCTTGATTCTCACGTTACTGCACTGCAGATTAGCATCAGCATCTATAGTAGGAGGACATGCAGTGGAAAGGCTGAGGGGGAGCAACACTGGAAGGAGGCACACCCACTGGAGAAATTTGAGAGGAAGGGAGGAAGCAGAACCAGGAATGAAGGGAGGTTAACATCTCTGGCTGCAGTACTCCCTCTTCCCTTCCTGGCCTCGCTATGCCTTGGGGCTGTCTTATTCCCCACATTCTCACATGTGTCTCCTCCATCCACATTCTTTTTCTGTTGGAATCTCTAACGAGGGCCCTTTCTCAAGCCATCAGTGGCTTGCAACCAGCAGTCTATGTTCCTACGGGACCTGGGCAGTCGTTGTGGGAGTCGGGTGGATTGAAGGAGACTCTATGTTTAGATTTTGGGTTACATTCCGCAAAGAAAAAGGTATACCTTGCAAGGTATTCCTGGCATTTCACATTGGAACTTAGAATTCTTTTATTTTTAGAATCATTCATTCACTTACCCATTCATTTGATAGTGTGTAGTGAACCAGGCAGTGTGCTAGAGGCTCGGATGGGAATTTGCTTTCTTTCAAGTTTCAGAGAGAGCGTTTTTTAAAACTTAGAATTGTTTTATATTTCATTCTGTTAAGTTTAGTATCTGTTTTTTGTTTCTTTTCCCCCAAAAGCTTTTGGGAAGAAAGAGGCAGCATGTTATATTGGAAAGGCTTTGGAGCCTGACATTAGAGTTTAAATCCTATTTGTGCCATTGTTGGCAATGTAACCTTCAGCTTATTTTACCTTACTGAACCTGTTTTTTCTTTCTTTTAAATAGGAATAATAATACTTAATGTAGTGAATGTGAGAGTGAGAGAAATTGGGACAGGTTGTCAGAATTTACATAAAATGATTACTTCTTTTAAAAAAAATATATATATATTATTGATTTTTACAGAGAGGAAGGGAAAGGGATATAGAGTTAGAAACATCGATGAGAGAGAAACATCGATCAGCTGCCTCCTGCACACCCCCTATTGGGGATGTGCCTGCAACCAAGGTACATGCCCTTGACTGGAATCGAACCTGGGACCCTTCATTCCGCAGGCCGACGCTCTATCCACTGAGCCAAACCGGTCAAGGCAAAACGGTGACTTCTTAATTGGTGAGCCAGCTGTGTCCTAGTGGGATTGTGACTATTGCAGAGACTAACTCTTCTGAGTTCAGTTTTTTTGTTTGTTTGTTTGGTTGGTTGGTTTTTTTTGAGTTCAGTTTTAAATCCTTTTTTTCCACAGCTTTGGTTAGTTTTCCACACTAGTTCACTTTACTCTGGCTAGTGAAGTGAGGGCCCACAATTACACCTGACCTCCAGTCGGAGGGAGGTTTTCAGAGAAACGGACGGAAATGGTGTGGCAGGTACCTCAGAAAATATGTGGCACAGGGAACACACTAAACTGTGCAGCATTGAAGAGAGACAAGGCATTGTTATCGTTAGGTGGTATGTATAGCACCTTGTGAAACGTCCCCGGATATGGCAGTTGTCTAGCAGTACAACAGACCCAATTGGCCCCTTACATGGTTTTGATTTTTGTCAGGGGCAGTAGTGTAGTGATCATTAAGTCTTTTCCAGTTATTGTAACGAGTATAAAGTTTTTCTGCAATTTGTCTCATACATCCAAAACTATTTCAGTCACACCAAGTGACTGACATGATGGGCTTCTGGTGGATAGAATTCATGACTTTTTTCTTATGTTTCTTTGTATAAAGCATTTTTGTTAAATATTGCCAATGAACTTCTGGCGGTAACATATAATCAGCTTTTCTCTATCCTCCCCTACTGAGATTCTAATTACCCTTTGATGTTGTCTCATAGGTGCCTGAGGCTGTCTATTCTTAAGGTCTTTTTACTTTAGATTGTTCATTTCTATGGATATATTTTCAAGTTCATGGGCTCTTTCCTCATTATTTTCATTTTATTTTGAAGCACATCCAATTCTAGAATTTCCATTTGGTTCTTTTTTTAAAAAGACAGATGATTGATTGATTCTTTTCCTCTGAGCATATGCTATATAATAAAAGCCTAATATGCTAAATTCAACCAGTCGCTATGATGTGCACTGACCACCAGGGGGCAAATGCTCCAACTGGTAGGTTAGCATGCTGCTAGGGTCCAGCCAGTTGGGACTGGGTGAGACAGGCCGGACATGCCCTGGAGCCCTCCTGCCGTCCCTCCCCGGCCCCGCCCCGATCATGCACCTGTGGGGTCCCTTGGCCTGGCTGGGTCCCTCAGCCTAGCCTGCACCCTCTCGCAATCTGGGACCCATCGGGGGATGTTGGAGAGCTGGTTTTGGCCCCATCCCCATAGGCCAGGCCGAGGGACCCCACTGGTGCGTGAATCTGGGCCTTTAGTTTATAATAGTTGTTTCAAGATTTTTGCCTGCTCACTTCCGCTAATTTCAATATCTCAGTAATCTCTGAGCAGATAATGAGTAACTAATCCAAGGAATCAGACACATTTTGTGGTTGTCTTGAAGATAAGGGAGGCAAAGATCAAGTTAAGTTGATAGAGACACTTAATGAGATCTGCTTCAGTTACATCCTTTGGCTTGTTTTAGATTCTTTGTTAGAGGTGGAGAGCTCTGAGTTTATGGTGATGTCAGATAGATTAGTTGCCATCAGATGTAAGAGGGAGAGGCCACCAGGTATGTCCTCTTGAAGCAGAGGTAGGGTCATGGGGACAAGTAGGGTAGTGAAAAACCCTTGAGCAGCGCTTCATTAAAATGTGAATGGAAAATGGTTTTGAACTATGCAGTTATCATACGATTACCATCTCACTTGAAGGATCAAGTTGCTTGTTTCATGTAGTAGGTTGAAGGAACTATAATCAACCAGTCATTTATTTATTCTTCTTAAGACCATGCCGCCAAAGAACTTTTTGTGTGTGTGAATAATAATACTGGTACTGGTTTCTCATATTTCTATAGTTGTTCACAGTTCATTTTATACACAATCAATTGTTTTCATCTAACTTGATCACTGAAATTAAAGTTATATTGTTAGGCTTAAAAACGTTAAGAATAGCCATAGTTTCTCAGATTTGAAAGAATATTAAGTAAATTGTAAAAAAATTCTGGCCAATAAGCAAAATTTTGAACTAACCATTTTCATTAAATTGAATATAGATCCATTCATATATACAAGTTTAAAAAATTTCCTTATGAATTTAAATGTATAAAAGAGTGCATAAAACTTTTTGTACAGTTCAAAGGATGGTAATAAAATTAACATTCCTGTACCATTGATCCAGCTTAAGAAATTAACAGGATTTTAGAAAACCCTGTGTGTCTCCTTTCCCTCAAGAATAAATCATCTCCATGAAATTTGCTTTATAGTTTTATAAGTATTCCTATAGAATATGTTTATTTTTGCTTGTTTTTAAATTGTGTGTAAATGAAATCACACTATATTTTCTGTGACTTCTTTTCCAAGTATTTTTTGAGATTTATTCATGTTGATTAAAATAGCTATGGTTGCTCTAGCCGGTTTGCTCAGTGGGTGGAGTGTTGGCCCATAGACTGAGGGGTCCCGGTTCGATTTTGGTCAAGGGCACATACCAGTTGCAGCCAGTCGATGTGTGTCTCTCACACTGATGTTTCTCTCTCTGTGGTTCTCCCTCTCCCTTCCACTTGCTCTAAAAATCAATGGGAAAAATATCCTCAGGTGAGGATTAACAACAAAAACAAATGTCAATTTAGTCCCTATAATTAATAGAATAATGTCTAAATTCCTCACATAGTATTCAATGTCTATCCTGCAAACCAGACAAAGTAGCAAAATTTACTTAGTCCTCAAGTTCCAGTTCTTTTGTTACTTCTGTGAAGTATTAAGATGCACATAATATAGTAAGTGTTTTACTTTCACTGATCCCTGTATTAGAAACTTAATCACATTGTTACTATGCGTGTAGCATACTGTCTGTCTTTCCTGAAGACAGAACTTCTTGAAGGAAGGTACTATACTTGTTTTAAACTCCAGTGATTGCCACCATGCTTTATATAGTACTAGAGGCCCGGTGCACAAATTTGTGCATGGGTGGGATCCCTCAACCTGGCCAGTGATGGGGGCCAATGGGGCTGATCCAGGCCAGCCGGCTTGGGGAGGGGGGCGGGAGGGGGGAAGAGACTGCAGGAGGTTAGCCAGCAATCCGGGCCAGGCCGGCTGAGGTCAGGGACCGTGGGAAGTTGGCCAGTCACTGGGGAGGGGGGGGAGTGGCTGTGGGAGCACACTGACCACCAGAGAGAAGCTCCTGCGTTGAGTGTCTGCCCCTGGTGGTCAGTGCATCATCATAGCGACCAGTCATCCAGTTGTCATGGTCACTTAGGCTTTTATATATATAGATGGATTCTTGCTAAAGGAATGTGAAATAATTATTAATTTATTTGGTAGGAATTGCTGAAGTTCTCTGGTGACCTGAAATTTGCTTTTGCTTCTTGGACCTTTGTATTAAAATATGTATCTAGCATTGAGAGTTAGAATACACAGAATGTTTGATATGAGAATAAACTGGTCTCATTTGCTATTTTGAATTATTTCATATGTTATTTGGTGTTTAAAATAATTTTCTTCACCAAAATGTGATTCATATATAAGAAGTAAAGGAAATATATAATTTTCTCATGAAAATTAAATCTATTATCAATATAGTTTGATGAAATTATTAAATATTTTGGCTTAATTCTTAATCATAACTTCAATTCTTATTGTTTAAGAAATACCATTATCTGTATTAATTTACATCACATTTCATTAAGAAAGTAATTGATGTTGCTTTTTATTTCAGCTAAACCATTTACTTCTAAAGTGAAACAGATGCGATTACATAGAGAAGACTTTGAAATATTAAAGGTGATTGGTCGAGGAGCTTTTGGAGAGGTAAGAATTTATAGAAGGTCTGCTAATTGTTTGGAAGCTATTTTATACAGTCTGAAAAAATTTAACTGAAATATTTTTTACTCTGTTGTGATATGATTAATCAGAAAATATATTAAAGTTTGGAATGAAATACTTACATGTGGAATTTTCCCCGAAGATATTTCTACTAGTATTCTTCATGTGTCTTGTGAGTTTGAGTATGTTTCTGGACTCTGTTTTGTTGGTCTATTTGTATCCCCTTGTGCCAATATGACACTGTCATAAGTTATTCTACTTTGTCTTGATATCTGGTAGTGTATGTACTCCGACTTCTTCCCTCTACTCCCCTATTCTTGGCTCTTATATTTTTACAAGAGGCCCAGTGCACAAAATTCGTGCAAGGTTAGGGTCCCTAGGCCTGGCCGGCGATCAGGGCTGATCCGGCCTTCCGGCTGCTAGTCGGGGCCTTCCTTCCAACTTCTGGCCGTGACCTCCTTTCTTCATTCTGCACTGCCCCCTGGTGGTCAGCAAATGTCATAGCGAGCGATCGGTCTCCCGGTCGAACTCCCGTGGGGGCAATTTGTATATTAGGCTTTTCTATATAGAGGGATAATTTTAGAATCAGTGTTTCCGTTTCTTCTTACTCTTTTAAAAAATATATTTTTTTATTGATTTTAGAGAGAGAGGAAGGGAGAAAGAGTGAAAGAGAGAGGGAGAAACATTGATTGGTTGCCTCCCATATGCACCCTGACTTTGGATGAAACCCACAACCTGGGTATGTGTTTTGACCGCAAATTGAACTGGTGACTTTTTGGTGCATGGGATGATGCTCAACCAACTGAGCCACACCTACCAGGGCTCTACTTACTTTTTTAAAAAATTTTTTAAGACATATTTTTATTGATTTCAGAGAGGAAGGGAGAGGGAGAGAGAGAGAAACATCAATGATGAGGAGAGAATCATCGATCGGCTGCCTACTGTACGCCCCCTACTGAGGATCGAGCCCACAACTGGGGCATGTGCCCTTGACCAGAATCGAACCCCGGACCCTTCAGTCCGCAGGCCGACACTCTATCCACTGAGCCAAACCAGCTAGGGCTCTACTTACTCTTAAAAACCCATACTCACACCCACACACCTGTTGGAATTTTGATTAGGGTTGCACTGAAACTAGAATCATTTTGTAGATTATTGACACCTTAACAATATTGACTTAGCCAATCTATGATCATGGTATATTCCTTCATTTATTTAGGGTTTTATAAATTTATCTCACTGATGTTTTGTAGTTTTCATTTGGTGGGCAAGACTTCTACATCTTTCAGCAGATTTATTTCTGGGTGTGTGATGTTCTTTGTTATTATAATTAGAATAGCAGAAGTCATTGAAATGTCATATTTTTATTTTGGTCAAAATACAATATTATTTTAATTGTGATTTTTGTTTATCAATACAATATTATTTTAATTGTGATTTTTGTTTATCTTTAGAAGTTTATTGCTCAATTTCTAAATATTTGGAGGGTTTTCTAGCTATATAAACTGTGGATTTCACTCCTTTGAAATTTGCTGTGTGGTGTTCTATAAATATCAGTTAGGACAGATTCATTAATCTTGTTCTATAAATATCAGTTAGGACAAATTCATTAATCTTGTTTAAGTCATCCACATTCTTACCTTTTGTTTTCTCTGCTTGATATGTTATTTCCTGAGAAAGGATTTATATATATATATATATATATATTTTTCACCCCCCAGTTTTTACTGATAATAAATACAGAGTTATTATATCTTCCGGGTGATTAACTCTTTTATAATAATGGAATGATCCCCGTTATCTCTAGCTAATGCTTTTGGAGTGAAAATTTTCTTAATCTGATATTAGTAGAGTGCTACTCTTTTTTTTATTAGTATTTGCACTAAATATCATATTCCATCCTTTTAGTTTCAGCTTTCTATAATTTTTATGGTATGTTTACTATTAAGTAGGATTTAGTGTTACTCTTTTGTAGGTTAAGAAAGTTTTTCTTCTATTCCTATTCTGTTGAGCTTTTATCATGCATAGGAGGTAACTTTATCAAAAGCTTTTTCTATATCAATTTTTTTCTATTTTGATGAAACGATTTAACGTCTATATTTGGTGAATGTGGGAATTACATTAATTTTTAAATATACCAGTATTGCATTATTACACAAGTTGAATTGTTTGTGTACATCGTTTAAATATGTAGTTGGGTTTGACTTGTTATTTCATTAGGATTGTTTTGTTTATGGGCGTGGGCAAGATTAGCCTTTAATCTATCTATCTCATAATTCCTTATTTTTTGAATAATATATTTAGTTTACAAGACAATTTGGGAAGTGTTTCTGCTTTCCCAGTTTTCTTTAAGAATTTGTGTAAGATTGGTATTATTTTTTTCTTTAAATGCCTGGAAGAATTCACTAGTGAAGCCATCTACACTAGGGGTGCAATTTATTTGTAGTTGGTTGTTAATCTTTGATTGTACTAATTGTATATGTACAATTCCGTGAGTTTTGAGAAATGGATTCACCTTCATCAAGATATAGACCATTTACATCATCCTAGGAAGCTCCCTTCCCAGTCAGTTCCCATCATTTCCATCAAGTGGCAACCACTGTTCCAAATTTTAACTGCGGGTTGGTTTTGGCTGTTTGAAAATTTCATGTAAATGGAAATTAATCCATGTACTCTTTTGTGTCCAGCTTCTTTCACTCAGAATAATGTTTGTGCGATCCATCCTGTGATCAAATGTATTTATACTTGCTTTTTATTGCTGAGCAGTATACTGTTTTATTAATATACCATAATTTATCCATTCTGTTGATGAATATTTGGGTTTTTCTGTTTTTGTTCTTTTTGGCTATTAGGAATGAAGCTGATATGAATATTCTTTTTTTAAATATATTTTTATTGATCTCATAGAGGAAGGGAGAGGGAGAGAGAGATAGAAACATCAATGATGAGAGAGAATCATGGATCGACTGCCTCCTGCACGCCCCCCCACTGGGGATTGAACCCGCAACCTGGGCATGTGCCCTTGACCGGAACTGAACCTGTGACCCTTCAGTCCGCAAGCCGACGCTCTATCCACTGAGGCAAACCTGCCAGGGCAACTATGAATATTCTTATGTGCATTTTATGGAAATAGATTTTCATTTTCCTTGGATAAATACCTAGGATTGGAACTGTTGGGTTAAATGGTCATATTTAAATTTAAAAGAAACTGGCAAACCTCCAATGGGGTTGTACCATTTTACATTTCTACTACTTGCAACAATATTTTCTGTTGTTCATTTTTGTAATTTTAGCCATTCTAATGGGTATGTAATAGAGTTTCATAGTCTTAAGTTGCATTATTATTTGAATTTATATTATATATCAACATAATTACTCACCATTCTTATAGCTTCCTTTGTGAAGTATATATTCAAGTATTTTGCTCATTTAAAAAAATTGGGGTATTTGCTTTTTTATTATTTTGTTGTAGGAGTATTTTAAATTTTGATGGTACAATTTTTTCTCTTAGGTTTATTATTTTCTGGCGGTATTTTTGGGGGTGGGGGGAGGGGTTCCCCCTAAGAAATTCTTGTTTATATTCAGGTCACAGACATATTGACCTATTTTTAAAAAATATATATTTTATTGATTTCAGAGAGGAAGGGGGAAGGAGAGAGAGATAGAGAAACATCAATGATGAATCATTGATCAGCTGCCTCCTGCATCCATGCCCCAGCAGGGATCAAGCCCTGCCTGGGAATCCAACTGTGAACTCCCCGTATATAGGTCGACACTCAACTACTGAGCCACACTGGCCTGGTGAACTAATTTTTGTTTTTTTTTAAAGCTCTGTAGTTTTAGCTCATGTTTAGGTTGGTTATTTACTTCAAATTAATTCATGTATGATGTTGGCTATCTAGATGTTTCAGCAACATTTGTTGAAAAGACTATTTCCTCTATTGATTTACTTCAGCATCTTTGTAAAAAAAAATCAGTTGACTACATTTTTATCTATTACTACTCTTTCTATTCTGTTTCATTGATCTCTTTGTCTATCCTAATGCCAATACCACAATATCTTGAGTCCTGTAGCTTTATACTATAAAGTTGAGAGTATGTGATGAAGTGTGAGTGTAAGTTCTCCTACTTTGTCCTTTTTCAGATTGTTTTAGGTATTCTAGGACTTTTGCATTATTGTATACATTTTAGAATCAGGGTGTCAGTTTCTGTCAGTTTATTGGTATTGAAATTGAGTTTGCATTCAATTTATAGATCAGTTTTGGGCGGTCTGACATTTTAATGTTGAACCTACTTGTTAGTCCATGAACAAGGTATTTCTTTGTTTTTTAAGGTCTTTTAAATTTTCTTAATGTTTTGTTATTTTAGTGTACAGGACTTGTTCACATTTTGTTAAATTTATTTCTAAGTATATTATGCTTTATGCTATGGTAAGTGATATTTAAAACAATTTTATATTCAAATAGTATGTTGTTAATATGTAGATACAACACTGATTTTTGTATCTGACTTTATTTTCTAAATTTACTATTTTAAAATAGTTTTGTGTTGTTTTGGTTGCTACTTTTTTGTTTTGCTAAGTAAGCAATCATTGAGACTAGGGACAGTTTAGTTTCCTTTTCACTTCCAGATTTTATACCTTTTATTTTTTTATCTTAACTTATTGCACTAGTTTCGACCTCTAGTACAATGTTGAATGGGTGTCATGAGGGTAGACATCCTTACTTTATTCTTGAACTTAGGAAAAAAGGATTCAGTGTTTCACTATTATTCTGGTAATTGTAGGCGTTTTCATCAGTGTCCTTTATTTGATGAAGAAATTGTCTTCTAAAACCAGTTTGCTGAGAGTTAATAAACATATTAATGGGTGCTGAATTTCTGTCATCTGCTTTTTTTGCATCTCTTGACATCATATACATTTGCTCTTTTATTCTGTTAATATGGTGGGTTACCTTGATTGACTTTTTTCAGTAGACTATTTTTTA